ATCGAAAAAGGCTTGTGGATGAAATCAGAAAGAAAAAAGGAAGCAAAAAAGGGTTGAAAAAGTCTACTGCCGGTTTTCAGCTTCGAGAATGAATGAACCGCCGAGCCGACCCTAGATTGTGGTCGCCGCACTATTCCAGCTCCTTACATTCCAACCGACGGCCGTTTCGAATATTCTCGGCGTCGAACAAGTGTCGAAGATATTTTGTTAACGGACTTCGTTGGGTGAGAATTGTGGAGTCGGCGCGTGCCGCGCGAAAACGGGCCTTTTAAAAAAGAATTTAAAGAAATCGTGGCAGAGCACAGCGAGATCTATAGCGCGTGGCACATTCCGAAACAACATACCCGCACTTAGCATTTATCCCGAAAAAAAAAATCGCGTAGTTTGTGTCCCACACTGTCTCCGAGCGTTGATTGTCGCAACCACATTTCTATTCTCCATCCGGGAATTCCGTCCTCAACTTTTCTTTGCAAACGCTCATCTTGCGAGCTCAATGCAGCATAATCTTACTCTTTTGAATGACAAGTATGCTCGGGCTGTGATGTCAAGTCAGAATGACTGAGATACCAGCAGGGTACCAATGCAAACTGCAGCGCTTCGCCGTGGTCCCCGACACCACCGCAACGGTAATCCTTAGCCGCGCGCCCGCCGTTGCCTCGAAACCGCTCGAAACACGGATTACTTACGTTAGTACCACCAAATGCTGAGCTCGATTTTGATCACCGATACGCAGTCATTCGCGATGAGGTATCTCTCTTCGAAATTTTCGGCGGCATTTTCTTTCAAGCGTGGGCGGCCCGCATGTATTTGCCATGACATGGACAGGCTCACGCGATTTTTTCTCTTCCGCTTGTGAACTGGTTTGATCACTCGGGTCGGAACATGAGCGCGGGAGTTCGAACCGCAGCGGAATTTCTAGGTATTCGGCGCTGCAGGATAATATGTAATGTGGAGCTTGGCAACTCCTGGCATGCTATATTATGGCCGCAGCGGGTAAGATGAATTATGGTTGAGGAATGGAAGCAATGTTGGTGGAATTCCTGCTCCTTGGCTGGTGAATCTTATTTCAATTCTGGAAGCGGAAAGCTCTGTCGCTGGTAAATTAGTTCGGGCAATTTCATTCCCCTTCAAATTCTCTGCGCTGAGGGAAGGAAGAGAACCCGAACTTGACCCGAACCGAGTTAATTTGTAGTTGCTGATTGATTCTAACCTCTGTATGCCAGAAAATAACCCCACGGTGTCCTGGCTTTTGAACAAAATGTTCCTTAATGCAATGCACAAAGCTTTTTTGGACTGACTGTGTACCTTCCCGACAGGCCGAGCGTTTCCGACGCACGTTACAGCCTGTGCCGGCAGTCCACCACCTCTCCGCATGCCGGCACTTCTAAGGGCTGAGTCCGCACATATAGGGGGATGATCAGAGGAAGTCTCTGGACCCTCGTCCTATCTGTTGTGGCCCCCATCTTTTGAAGCATACATACGATGCCCGCTCTGAGTCGCCAAGACCCCCTCTTCGGGTTGATCTACTATGTTTTGGGTGGATGGGTACGCACGTTCACTTATAGCCAGCCAATCATCCCCCCAATCCTTCACACAGTTAATTGGCTCGAGCGCTGTCTTTTTACTCGAGGGGATTCTCATATCCCAGGTGCGTTCTCCCGTCATCCATTGCTCAACACGACCTCACAGCCTGAATGGCAGGTCAACTATTACTACACATGGTGTTCGGAAGACCCGTTGGCCCATAAAGTTATGGTCGCCGTCCTATGTCTTCTGACAGCACTGAAGACAATACAATCATTGCATGTGTCTCATGCGCATTCGCAACATCTTCGAACTAACGACCGGCTAAAGCGCGGTCACTTGGACCAATACCATTTTGTACATGCGTGACCCCGCCGGCACATTGGGTCTCGTCCGCGAGTTGTATCAAGCCGTCAACACTCCTTTGGTATGTCCTGTATTTTATCGGCACAAAATATTCTTATGGGTCTCCATTCGAGGGTGCTGTAATCGCAGCTTATGTCCAAAGCTATTATTGTTACCGACTGTACGTGCACATCATAGCAACAACACCGGCCCTTCTTTTACGCCATTCAGATGGAAATTGAGCGAGAAGTGGTGGTACGTTGTACCACTTGTGACGATCATGGTATTTGGCCTGGGGTCGGCGATCATTACTGTGTGTGTTAAAATGTTTCGAAAGGCCCTTCTAAATGATATACCACCAGGCATCCGTTATTGCGAAAACTGAGCACTCCAGCGTTTGGTGTATGTCGCATCTATGTTGGGTTGACCGAATGCTGTACTGATCATGATATCCCCTCCCAGTCGCCATCCATGTCTCGTGTACATTTGGTTGGTCACCGGTTCCAGCGGCGTTAAACTGCATTGCTGACTTGAAAATCCACAGCCACGGACGTCCTTATTACTGGCGCATCGATATATTTCTTGGTTAAGGCTCGTGAGCAGGCCTTATTCCGCACAAGAAAACTCCTAGGCAATCTCATTAAAATAAGTTGTCAGACCGCGTTGCCTGCTACCACTGCGTGCGTTGTTTCCATTTCTTCCCGGTCAGACGCTGGGCTATTTTATTCCCAGAACACTTATTGCATTAATCTGTTCACGAATTGGAGGCAAGTCCCTCAAGCCGCAGGCATCTCACTCGATAATTCTGGTCTTGTTTAATGCACTGCCCATTATTTACGCGTGCGTCCGCTTTTCATACACTCTAAATGAGTATCTGAACGACGTGACCAGAAACTGCATGCTATATATTCTCAATGTCCGTCGCTCGCTTCGGGACGCTGAACTTGCTTCTACTGGCCTCAGTGACAGCAGCGCCATCCATCCCGGCGGCACTTGCAGCCGAGGACAGGGGCGTTCCACCGTACCCGTGGAGCTGTCTTTGCTCGGCGGTACGCGGATGCAGACGCAGTCAGAGACGGAGGGCAGCAAATTTGTAGGTCAGGGCAATAAGTAGCTGGCCTTGAGATTGCAGATTGAATTGGGACTTGAAACAGACTGGGACACTGTGATGTGGGAGTTTGCCGTTCGACCTACAATATCTACCGTGACATTTTAGGTCGCTTCACTCCCGGCCGTTTCCACATTTTTCCTCGCTGTTGATTACACACGCGGATAGAAGAGGAAATATATATATTAGTACTAGCAGTGGCCCGTGCTTCGCTACGGTGGGCACAGTAAAAATTGATGGAGCTATTGAAAGAATTCTGTACATGATAGCAGCCGTTGACCCGTGTTAAGCTATGGAAAGGATCACTTCAGCGGTCATATTTAACGTTTATCAGAATGTGAAAGACGCCACTCGTCGTCAAATTTGGGTTGACTCCTCGTGGCCTCATGTTCAGCTAAAATTGAGAATGCTAAGCTGACTTGAGATCGGTGTGGTGTGCGACGTGTATTCAAACATAGGTTCGGTAGTTTCAGCTGAGCCGTTGCGGTTGCGAACGTTTGGTGTATCTAGTGCTTGCAATTGATCCATATACAGTTGAATCACTCATATGGAATACCATTGGGATAGGGCTCAAGGGTATTCCATATGCTGGTTATTCCACAGTAGATAAAATCAATTAAAATAATAGTTTTCGTTTGGAATCTTAGGATCATTGTCCAGTTCAGGAATAGCCCTATTTGTTTGAATTATTGCATCCTCGGCTTCCTGCATCCTTTTAGCGCAGGATTTATCCAGATTCACCCCTTTTGTAGTTCAATGAGGATCATGGGGAAAAAGACACCGATAAATGGGTTTATATTATGTTTGAAAACAGAATGCCATTGTGGAAAAGAATCCCAAAATGGCCAGTTTGTCTCAAAATTGGTGTTTTGGCCACCCACACATTGGAATATCAGCCCAAAGCAATTGCCCCCAGGCTGGTTGATGGAATATTCTCCTATTCCAACATGGGATATGCTCAAAAGTGATTCCATATGATATTATTCCATATGAGCGATTCAACTGTAGATTCACACCTTTACTTGGGGATCCAAGCAGTGAGTCAAAAAATGAACAACCAATTAAAATTCAACTACTGTATCCAGCCCGCCCCTTTGAGTGTGTGAGTGCTAACAAATTTTTACGAAGGACAGGCCCTAAATTCTGCACATGGATGTTGTTGAAAGAGATGCTCTTGGCTACTTGCACCATTCATTCTTCATTTCTGATCGAGAGTTTAATACAGCCTATGTGCCGAACCGAATTAAACCTTCAGGGTTGTACAGTCCTGAGTTTGAACAGATTGATCAGAACGACGTTCAAGTCGGGCCACGTAAATTTGTTCACAACCCACCATCTCGACATTATAAATAGGAAGCCAACATAGTTAGTGGAACAGTGGAGCAACTTGGAGCAAGTGACATCATTTACAAACTGCCGAACAGCCAACCGGGTTTATCGAGAGTCACAGGTGTTCAATTCTTACATACATATATTTCAACTCGACTCCAAAAAATACCAACTTATTCAACTTTGCAGGGACAAGAGGAACTCGGACATGGTGTATGGTATACCTCTCTTCATGTGAAAAGAAGCTCATTAAATATTGAAGAGGTTGACGAGGTTCGAATCCCCGTGTCCGACTTCAGTCGAGAAGTCTTTATTTTTGTTTTCCACCCAGCTCCAAAAAAAATACCAGCTCATTCAAGGAGAACTCGGACATGGTGTATGGTACACCGCCTCTCTTCATATCGATATAGACGTGATTGACGGGGCTGCTGGGGTTCGACTCCCCGTGTCCGAATATGCTGCCTCAATTATTATTATTTTTTCAACCTGGCTCCAAAAAATTGCCAGCTCATTGAAGTTGGCAGGGACAAGAAAACTCGGACATGGTACCTATAGGAATGCATAGTGTGTGGTTGACGAGGTTGCTGGGGTTCGACTCCCCGTGCCCGAATGCATAAGACTTCTTGCAACTTTTTCCTTTTCAACCCGTCTCCAAAAATATCACCTCATTCAACTTTGCAGGGACAAGAAAAACTCGGACATGGTGTATGGTACACCACCTCTCTTCATATGTAGGGTACAGATGTGTTTGACGAGGCTGCTGGGGTTCGATTCCCCATGTCCGACTTAAGTTGAGCAGTCGTTATTTTGTTCTCAACCCGGCTCCAAAAAAATCCTTGACGTATGCAAGTTACGGAGATTAAGAAGAACTCGGACCTGGTGTGCGGTACACCGCCTCTCTTCATGGGGACATAGAGGTAGATGAGGAGGCTGCTGGGGTTCGACTCCCTGTGTCCGACATTATTTGTAGAGCAGTTGGAATTTTTGTTTTTCACCCGACTCCAAAAAATACCAGCTTATTCAACTTTGCAAGGACACTGAGAAGAACTCGGACATGGTGTATGGTACACCGCCTCTCTTCATAATAGGTTCTCGAATCTCCCATATTGACGAAGCTGCAGGGGTTCGACTCCCTGGGTCCGAATTCTGGGTCGGTCTCGTTCTTTTTTGCGACCCAGCTTCAAAAATTCTTCAACGTATGCAAGTTCCGGAAACTAAGAAGAACTCGGACATGGTGTATGGTACATCGCCTCTCTTCATATCTATAATGATACGGATCAAGTCTGGAGGCTGCTGGGGTCCGAATTCGTCTTTCGAATGGGTATTCTTTTTTATTTTTCTTTAAAATCCCCAACTCATCCAACTCCGCAGAGTAAGTACTTCCGATCCGTCGCGGCCGAAGAATGGTAGTGATCAAGATTCCCGAATGTTGAATGTTGAATTCAGCGGACGTGATTGATGAAAACAAATGACGTGCAGAGAAAGAAGCTGAATTCAACCGAGACGAAATGGCAAGCAGGACGCACATCGACCCCCTGTGTGCATGCGAGGGTGTGCATCTATCCAAACTGTTCACATGACACGAGCGGGGTAACGATCCGGTTCAATAATTCAAGCGGCGTCCGAATGCCAAGTGGTTTAGCCCGAGGCCGATTGTTCCCCGGTATTACCGGCGGGCTTTTATTCCGGTCTTATGAATCTACAGCGAGTCAACGGGCCGTCCATTCCAGCTGCTGCGCTCGAGTCGCTACGCGCCCGTCGGAATCGACTTTCACACCTTTAGACAATATTTATCCTGGTGCTTTTGGTGGCCTGGTTTCTTGGGATTGATTTATTCTGTACATGGACTCGTGCATCACAAGCCGGTTCATCGCAGCCCAGGAACCCAGGAACTTGCCAGGAACGCAACTTTAATTGCGCATCAGGCCATCATGATTGACAGGTGGCTGTGCACCTTCTCGGTCTCACATACTTCCGTTCCTTTCGAGTCGCCGGGCGAAGCGGGTACTTAAGACAACAATGGGTATATATAGGAGCCTCAGACCTTGCGCTTCCCGACTTGGGCTCTCTTCCTCCCTTCACTTCTTCGCAGCCCTAGAGCCTGGACCTTGAATCATGTTCGCCTCGCATGCCACTTCCTCGTCGTCCGGTTCCTCTAGCCACTCTTCTGGCTCCACCTGGACGAGTCCCAGCTCAAGTAGCCGTAGTAGCCCGGTACATGCGGGCTCACTCGTCGACCCTGCCACCCACGCACCGGCACTGCTGGAGCTCATCGACATCAAGCTCGACAGGCATGTCATCGGTCAGTCTTGTCTCCACATCCTATCTCCACTTTTGTCCACTTTACTGACTTTTGGGGTGGCAACAGACTACGTCGTCGACTGTGTCTCCGAGACCGTCGATCACGCCATGAGGCGCACCGTACCGACACGACCCTCGCGGACCTACCTCCCCAAATTCCACACCTTGGTCTCAACCGTCCTCTCCCGCGCCGAAGTAACTGCGCCCACCCTCCTTGTCTCTTTGGTGTACATCCAGCGCGCACGCCCACACCTCTGCATATCCCTCGAAGAATGGGCGCTCGAGCGCGTCTTCCTCGGTGCCCTCATCTGCGCGTCCAAGTACGCCAATGATTCGACACTCAAGAACGCACACTGGGCGCTGTGTACAGGCGTTTTCGGGAACAAGGACGTAGGACGCATCGAGCGCGAGTTTTTAGACGTGCTAGATTGGGAGCTGGGTGTGCGGGAGGCCGATCTGTTAGCGCATCATGAGGGATTGGTGGCTGCGTCAAGGAGGTCCGCCGCCTTAGCCTCGCGGACGAAGGTCAGCCTCAAGCGCGCGGCGCCCACCTACTTGGAACCCCAGCGCCCCCATCCCAATCACACGCACGGCCACGCCCGCCGCCCGTCCATGCCCGAACTCGATCCCTCCAGTCCGCAATCGAGCCTCGCGAGCATGTCGCCGCGCACGCCCTCGAACTTCCCGCACTCGCCTGCTGATCTTCCTCACCCCTACCATGATCTGTCGCTTTCCCTTTCGCAGCGCTACCACTCTGCGCCTCACTCCGCAAGTAAGGGCGGGAAGTGGAGGGATATGATGCGCTCGTTCCCACTGCCGAGGCATCATGCGCAGGCTCGGAGGCATGGGCATGCGCAAGGGGGGTATGCGATACGTGTCGCTGCCTAGCGGGGACGAGTCGGAGTCGCATTTGCTTGACTCTACTTAGACTCGCTCCGTGACGGCGCCCAGCGCTCGGTCGACATCTCGACGACTGCAGCACCGCCCGACGAAGTGCTCTCGGGCTCGCGCTGCATTTCTTGCACGGGCATGGACTCGCACGACGCCTGTTCCTCTCCCACTCCTTCGTTCTTCTACCTGCCTACGTATACGAGCAGTATTCGTCTCACTTATCTAACGCACTTACCACCTATATCATAGTCGCATTTTATCTCAGCCATATATTCAGCATACAATACAAGTACTCAGTCAATTACATTATGGACTTCAATCGCATAACAATAGGAATAGGAATGGAATCAAAGGCATTTTGCATTTTTTTTGGAGTAGCCAATTCTCGTGTGATATACTCTAAAGTGAGCTTGGGTAATAAGACAATCCGCGAATCCCACTACACTATAGGCTATATGCAGGTGGAAGTAATTTGCCTCCTTACCAGACCGTCCGGGATAAATTACCCTTAACCTTGACTTGGGCTACATAGCTTCCGTCCAAGCTGAAGGGCGCCGGCGCTATAAATTGGCTGGGCCATACTTATATGCGTATAGCGTATATGCTTAGTGCTATATACACGCGAATGGGAAGGGAGGGAGGGTTAAATTAATATATCCCCACATATACTCCGCATATTGAAGTCTGGGTCTCAGTCTGGGCGCGGGGCTGCCAGTGGCGAAGGGGTGGGGTCAAGGTGGGGTGATAAAGCCGCAAGGATGATTGATTGATTGCATTTGCCTTGCAAGTCAAATATGGAGGGAGACGGGGACGGAGACGGAGATGGAGACAAGGACGGAGACAAAAACAGGAAGACAGGAAGCATGAAGGGATCCGCGAACGCAGAGAGCGAAGCCTGAGTCCGGGGTGAGCGGCGGGCGGCGGTAGTTTTTTCTTCCCTTTTCGTTTCTCGGAGACCTTCCAGCCGAGCCAAGTTGGTTTGAATCTGAATCACTAGCAGGCGGGAGATAGATACAACACGCGAAGTACGACCACTCTATTGTTGTAGCGTCTGTTTATAAGAGACTAGGAGATAGATCGCTCGCGCTAATTTCTTTTTTGCGTAAGGGCTTTGGGAAGGAAGGAGTTAGCCTGGGATATCGATCAAAGGAGCGACGGAGCGTTACAGTATACGGAGCTGGTGATTCTGCGCGCGTCACGGGGATGTTCCTCTTGCCAGGCTCGGGCAGCACGGGCGCGTATATCGTAGTAGTAATCGTATATGATCAAAGGGCACGGGCAGGGTGGGTGTCCTAATATTTTCCTCATTTTGTACATGGGGTTGTGGCGGAGGAAGGTGCATTCGCGTTGTAAGGTATGGTGGGCAAGAGAGGGTACAAGTAGGGCGAGCGACGTCCTTGGAGCATGCTAGTGGCGCAGCAAGATCGCGCGGAAGGCGTCGGACTGGGAGCCTCTAGTGTAGTCGACGTCCCGGCGGAGGCACGCAGACGGCTTCAAGCTCCAACGAACGGGCCCATGATCGCGCCCGGCGCCGTGTAAGGCAGGTGAAAGTTTAATTCAGAGAGAGGACTTGGAGATGACGACCGACTCGAAGTTCCCGAGAAGATCCCCCGAAAGAAATTTTGAGGGAAGACTCGGAAGAGAATATTTTCACAAGCTATAAAGAACTTCCGGATGGGGGTGCGCTCGGTGGACTCCAGCTCGGGGCTTCTTGTGTTGCTTTTCTTTTCTTATTTTGTTTTTCGAGTTGGCCTGCCACTGCGACCGCGTCAAGTTTCGAGCTCGACTCGAGAGGTTTACACGAGTTCCGTGCATCCAAACGCGTCGTGTACAAGTTTTCAACCTCACCAAGGGCTTGGTTCAGTCGTTAATAGTGATTTTATCGTTAAGTTTGGGCTGGACTTTGAGGGGCTCGCCGCCGACTCGTTGGCTCGCTGAATGCCATTCGTCGGACCTGTTGTCGCTCGAGTCATCGCAAACGCAGGCCCGCAGCTCGAAGGTTGCCAAGGATATCACTCGCTACTAAGCGAGCGGAGGCGAAAGGGGCGGAAACCGGCCCGGGTCCGTGAGGCTCTCGCCTAGTATGCGAACATTTCCTTCTTTTGATCTATGCCGCACGCCACAACGTGTCTGCCCGAAATTCGGGTGGACAAACCTTAGCAGGTGACAGACGAGGGTAGGGGTACAACAAAGCGAGGTACGAGCTCAAATTTTGTTGTAGCGTCTGTTTATAAGAGGCTAGGGTAGGGGGCTATTGGGGTACTGGGGTAGTATTGGGCTGTAGTGAACGCGCATACGTCGACCTTCTTTGCTGTCTGCTAACGGCCCCTCTAATATCACTGACACTTCTAACTCACACCTCATTCTGGCTCATTTCCTTTGCGCCTGGGATGCCTTCACTACACTCGAGCGCCCCAGCGGAGCCCACTCCTTTCTGCCGTTTTTGCAGCCACAATCACACTGCCACACAGACAATTCTAACTCGTTTGTATTTAAGACCATCCTCGTGCCTTTCGATATTCAGGTCGAATTCCTTCTAAATCTTCTCTGGCTCAAATCGGACATTCCATCGTCGGCTGTGGCTGCCTGGGTTG